TTCTGCTGTCTGTCCTGTTTGTGTCTGTGATTCATAATTAATGTATTTTTTCCTCCTTTTTAATTGAAAACACGTGAAGTTTGGCAGCATTTTGTTCTTTGGTTGTTTCAGCAGGAGTCTGAACGGAGACACGTCGGCTCTCGTGTTAATAATAAAGGAATTATTGAACTGTTGAAAGAAAAACAAGTGAAAATGTGTAAGGCATACATTAAAAAAACTACTGAACATTTAATAACTTTAAAAGCTTTAATAAAAAGAAAAATACCAGCAAATATCTGAAGTAATAAAACTGACTGTGTGATCCTACAGATGTTATTATTTACAGTCTGATCTCTGATCTTAACGTGTAAACTTTACTGTTTCTGTAATGTTATTAAATATTATTATTATTATTATTGTGATTATGATTATTAATAATAATAATAATAATAATAATAATAATAATAATAACACATGAAATCTGTAAAATGATCCAAATTAATTACCAGTTTTAAACTTTTACAAACACACACCTTTCGCTTCAGCAAACGTCTGTAAACACACCAGAAACAGTTAGATGCTGTAAATAAAAAAAAAATGATAATAATAATAATATTTATAAAAACACTGATTTTTGATGTAGTCAACGTGTGAAGTAAACTTTTATTGCTCTGATTTGACTGCATAGGGAATATCTGTAGAAGAACAGTTTATTTTACCGTTTAACATTCATCACTTTTTATTGAAAAACACAGCAAATACGTGTAATAATTATATTTTTGCTTTTAAAATCACATTTCAAATCATTTCACAATTATACATTTGTAGAATCAGTTTAAAGTTTTGGCCAGTAAACATCACAAAGCCAGATTTTATATTAGATGTTGATTAAATTAGAGTGCGCTGTTGTTTAGTAGCAGCATGTCAACAAATGTCTTCAGGTGAGTCTTTAACGAGGCCGTGCACTAACGAGACACAGCGTTTCATTGGTTCTCATCAGCTACAAGTCTGAAACACAGTCGACTAACAGCGATTCTATCAGTCAGTTAATCTGCTGATTGTTAGTTTGGTCTCAACTGATCTCAGGTTTTCTCAAAGTTCACATGAAGCCCTGAATCAGCACCTTATGATCTGCTCTTCATTTGAATGGAAACAGAAACTCAGGACCAACATACTGAGCACCATCCTTTTTTATTAAATGTGCAAAGAACGGCGTCGTAGAACGTCTAAAAGTCATGGACGCGGCGGCAGGAGCCCACGTTGGGGCTCATGGCCGCCCAGTCGTTGTAGCGGCGGTACTCCCCTCGCTCCAGCAGGTACTGCCGGCCGCGGTAGTTGGGCAGCTCGTAGAAAACCCAGGCGCCGTCGTGGACGTGGGCCGAGTGGACCTCGCGGAAGTGCCAGCGCTCGTGGAGGTTGTTCACGTCCTCGGTGAAGTCCAGCATCTGGCCGCCGAAGTCGGGACGCTCGTAAACACGAACCCTCCACATGCCGGAGGTCTGAAACGAGAACAGCAGCTCAGTCAACCCAGAAACTCTGGAGATGTCTGTGACCAACGCAGTGGGAGGAGCTCGGGGCAGATGGTCGGACCTGCGATGTGTCAGAACCTCCTGTACAGCACAGTTGTGTGAGTACAGTGTGTATTAATACTACAACACAA